AGCCACGTATGGTAGAGATGCTCAGCTGTGAGGCAGTGGAATTATTACCCTTGAAATCATCTCTGGTCTCTGTTCAGACAGGGACCTGCTTCTCAGTGCTGTGGTAGATAAGGTTTTAGACTTTTGGTTGGTTTCTAACTCGTACTGACCAAAGCTAATGAATGTGAAGTTCCAGTTACTTGTGCCCTACTGGTTAGTTCTGTGGCTCTGGTAATAATTTTTCTTTGCAAGAACCAGAGGCCGTGAAGAAAAGGCTGTGTCATACTAGTGTGTTGCTCATTAATGCAGTGAATTAATGTGGATTTGTAAGAAAGAGAAACCTTTATCTTCCCATCTCCTTCAAGACCGAGGTCTTTCTTCTCTGTCATCTTATGATTCATTCTGCTCCCCTGCCTCCACGTTCAGCCTGAAACCATCATCAGGCATCTACTGAGCAAAAGCAAGCCAACAACAGGACCTCATGGCTCCGTTTTGAAATCAGTTGGCTGTAGAAGTCTGCATCAGAAGGTGAGACAGATTTAACCTGAAAAAACAAATCATGAAAAAAGAACTGAGTGACCTCTGGGGCCTGGGGCTTTCTGCCTCCTTGCTTGTGGTGTGTGGCCCGGCTCCTGGTGGGAAGCGTGGAGTCACCCTCCTCATCCTCAACTCTTGTGGTTCTTCAGCCGTTATCCTCGTTCACCTTGGACAAAACGACTTCGAGAAACGACGTGATCTAAATCTGCTCGCCAAGGTTAAGAGAAACTTGGCACCTGCCCAGGCAGCATTTGGTCAATGTTGCTACCAAGGTAAATGGGAGCCAAGCCAGCAGAACTGAGGTTATTTCCAGGCCCAGAGTTGCTTGCTAACACCTGACAAAGTGCCTGTGGATCAGACAGGAGTTTCAGGAGTTTGCTGGTGTTGATAACAAGCCAAGAAGCCCACTCGGTTGCTTTGCTTTATGTCATGTTGTTGGGGAGGCATCTACAGAGGCAGGATAAAGTGCGGGTGGAAACAAGCCCACACCGTTAGGCCGCTTGGGTCAGAAGGGTTGAGCTCTGCAGTTGATCTCACAGTTTCAACTGTGTTTTCCTTAGTGGCTGGCACTGAAGCCCTGGTTCTGTTTTCCCAATTTTTGCTGCAGGTTTCATGACCTCTTTCATTGACCCTTCTGTTTTGATGGGGCCTCTGATAGCCATGAAAAGTCCAGCTCAGGTACCTGCTCCTCAGACGTTCCTCCATCCTGGAACCAGGCTTCTCCCTTCCTCCCTGCTTTAGGAGAGTGGATGCTTTATTCCTGTCACAGTGAGGTAGAGGATTGGAGCCCTCACAAAGCTTTGCTTTTGTGCTGCTCCTCCTTTGCTGCTGTTCCTTTGCTGCTGGAATGTTTTTCTGATTGTCTCACTGCTTTGCTGGACAGGTGGCCTTGTCCTTTCTTCCCGTGTTAGGGTCAGAGGTAAGCAGTGTGCCGTGAGATTTGCAGAGCAAGGAGGCTTTATGGCTTCGTAATGCAGAATCTGGAAATTTGCCTGCCAGCGTCTGACCCTGGAGTCAAGCAGGCAGTTCAGAATGGGAAGCGGGAGAGAGGCTTCGATTGCTCGGTTCCAGAAAAGTTTCTGTAATGGAATTTTTGTGAAAACAAACAAAAACGCCCAGCCACCTACAGCTAATATTAAAGCTCTACGCTAAATCATGACGGATAACATTACTGGTGGGAATTCAGGCAAAGCTGCTGGCTTTCCCAAGGACCTGTTCTGTTAGAGCAGAGCTCTTCTGGGCTACAAAAAGTCACGTTCCCATGCTGTAGCGGGTCTGCCATCCCCACAGCCCACGTCCTGGGCTGTAATTGCAGTCTGGCATTACACTGGGGGGCAGGAGGTGAGCAGGAGGGGAATCAGAGGCTGCTGTGGGCCACTTAGATTAACACAAGGTGCATGACATGGCCGCTCTGTCAGAAATCATGGATGCACATGAGCCAGGTTGCAGCAGTAATGGGGCAGGATCAATGGGGTGGGAGCAAACAAGATTTCAGGAGGCAAAGATGTGGAAGGGAGCAGAAAGAATGGGATTTGACTGATTGCCACCATTGCTTTTTCTTGTTAGGAAACACTGATGTTCACTGGGTCATTTTGCAAACATCCCTTCACTGGAGTGGTGTTGTGCCTTGGCTTGACCCTTTGGTTATTTGGTACTGCTTTTGTGCTTTCTCATACTTGTTTTCCCGTGCTGTACTCAGTTCAAACTGTGGCTGCATGCTCTTTGTCAGGAGGATGCACTCATGGTGCTGCTGGGTTCTGTGCAGCCCTATCAGGGTGGGAAACCAATGGCTGGGGTCCCTAAGTGCCACCGGGATACCAGCAACAACCCAAAAAGTTGCCCAAGTTTTGTCGTCTGAGTTCTGTTTCTCCTTGATCCTGTCTCAGAAACAGCTACAACAAAGGTTTATTCCCAGAGCTCATGGTAAGAAAAAATTGGAAGATCCCCAGTGCACAAAGAGAACCTCAGCAGTCTTCTCCAAAATCCCAAATCCTGTTCAGGAAGGTGCCGGTGTTGCTGCCATCCCTGCAACCAGCAGTTTGCCCTGAACTTGGTATTGTGTCTTAGTACAAGTAAATCAGAATGAGTGTTTGTTTTTCTGGTATAAACCTTTAAAAAGAAAGAGCTGGTCTCTAGTGGAAAGACATTCATGTGAGCTGACAAGAGCCATCCTTTCTTTTGAGGTTCTAAGAAGCGGTGTTCTCAGTGCAGGAAGGCACTCCTTGTCCCCTAGGATCTCTTTCTCTCAGGGCTGCAGGAACAACAGCCAACGTCTTCTTAGCCTAAATTAGCTGAGGATGAAGAGAATAAAACACGCTGGGAAAAATTCTGAGGGAAACAAAAAGGGGGAAAGATATTCAGCTGAAAAAAAAAAAAAGGAAACTTTTTGGAGCCAAATAATTTTCTCCTATTTAGATTTTCCAATTTCTGGGACTGCTAGGCTAAAAAAAAAAAGTGTCTTTTCCTATTAAGAAAATTGCTTTCACATTCCTGCAATGAACAGAGTTTTGTTTCTAATGATGGAAGCAGTTGATTGTAGCTGCTGAGTAGCTGGAGTGGGGATCCGACTATCAATGCGTCACTAGCTAAATGTGATTTGAGATGCAGTTTGCTTTTCTGTATCTCAGATCTCAGAGCTAAACCACAAACTGTACATGACACAACTAAATTAATATTTAAAAATAATTACTTGCTGCCTGAAGGTAAACAGAAAAAGGGTAAATAATTGATAGCACTGGGACTGCCACACTGTAAGGCTGCTGAGCGTTTATGATGTGCTGCGAAGGTTCAAAGGGATTGCTCGTCTGCTGCCTCTGAAGGAGGGTTTTTGCTAATCATTCCAGGGCTTGTTTTGTCAGCCAGCAATGTTTTCAGAGTTTGAAGCACTGGAAGAGAATGCCAGCTTAATTTAGGCGATTCTCTAACTTAATTTACTAACTTTCCTTCCAAGATTTGCATTGTAAATGATAAGGTGATTTTCATATATATAATTTTTTTTTTTTATCCCGTCAACATCTGAAGGGAAATTTCATGTGGTCTGCTGCCAAGAATGCAGAGTAACTCGCATGTGAGGAGCGCTTACATAACGTGCCACCCTGTGACAGTACCTGTCTGCAGAGCTTGGCGATGCCTTGGCACTCGGCAGCCGTTCGCCTTTCCGTGGGAAGTGTCCCTCCCCTCACTGCCCAGCGCAGAACAGCCGGCGTTCGGAGTGGCCAAAGACCATAAAAAAAGACAAAAAGTCGGTGATTTCAAATCAATTCATTTTCCCCTGCAGTTGGAAAACTTCTTGGGCTGATTATTGCATTGACAATAAAAGAGAAAAAAAATTGTCCGAGCGGGACTTTGCATTTTTTTGGTGATAAAGCAAAGGGCAGAAAAATACCCTGATAATATTTGCAGCATTTGCTGAGAGCTGCTGGCTGCAGATCTGCAGCGTGTTTCAGTAAGGTGCCGTACACCCCTGTGGGGCGGTGATCATCAGATAAAAGTTATTTTTAAAAAGGCAAGCAGAGTCTGGGATCTGTCAGCGATGCCAGCTGGGCAACGGGATCAAATGGTTCTCAGAGGTACCAGCAATATTTATTTCACTGGGTGCTAGGGGTGGGAGCGTGGCTTCTTCTCATGCTGCCTTAATGCATCACACTTCAGTCCTTGAAAATACAATCCAAGATCTCATTATTTTTTTTTTTGTAAAAAAAAAAAAAAAAAAAGTCAAATAGTCAAATACCAACTAGGAGACATGGGAGTGTCGTTTGGGGATGTGCAGCCATTCTTCCACGCTGCCGAACGGCGGTAAGGCCTGAAGAGGAATTCACCAGAGACTTCATCCAGCTGATGCACGTCTGGAAGGGAACAATAAGCAGGGCTAAACAGAAAGTTAGGAAACACGATGTGCAAAGAGGGACCGGCAAAAGCACCTTGTGTTCAGTCCAGAGAAGACAAATAGGCTGCAGCAGAGCGGCCATCGTATACCTACAGCGGTGCGGCAAGGAGGAGGGAGCGTTCTGCTCTCCCCTATGTTTCTTATAATGGCTTAAACTGGACTCCAGAGAGTCAGGGGAAAAAATAGGAAATCCTTCTGATGGCGGAGGTAGGTCACAGTTGGAGCAGATTGCTGGGGGGCTGTGGAGGCTCTGTCACCGCAGATTAACAACAAGTCAAACAAATATTGTCTGTAAGGGATGAGTTTAAGAGCACCTCGGTCCTGTCTCCCTGCTAGTCTGGGGCTAAATAATTGAGACAGAAGGGAGCCAGGCACTAAGTCTCAGACGGCACACGTGGGCCTGTGTGTCTCAGGTCCAAGCTCAATGTTTGTGCAAAATATATTGTGAGGGAGTGAGGTGGCCGGGTCCTGCATTTAATGACTGTTGTTGTGGCTTTGGGATGTTCCTGTGTGTCCTATCTGCACAGGTCCTGCCTTACCTGAGAATCTCCACTCTCACTTGCAGCAATAACAGTGTCTCTTATCCTCCTGCTTGCAGGGGAAGGCATTGAAAGCGTGGCTGTCCACAACCAAGAGGCTCAGGAAGCAGAAGGCATGGTCCAGGTGGCCCTGCTGGAGCCAGGATATTTATTGGACCAGATGGACCCAGAGGTGCCTTCCAGCCCCATCCAGGCGGTGATTCTGTGACCCGGGAGGCTCAGCAAGCTGCAGCCGACACAGCTCCGATGGGCTTCCATTATATCACAGGTGGGGCAGGGAACTCCTGCTTTTTAGTGCTTGGGGTTCCCAATGCAAGGGAAGGCAAAACAAAACAACAAAAAAAAGAGCCTACTCTGAACTCTGTTCCAACATTCAGGTCACCACCCTTCTCCTTTCTTCCCCACACCCAAGACCACACACTCGCACTTGCACCCCCAGGCGTGCATGTCTGCCTGCCAACACAGAGGAGTTACCGATCTCATCGCAGTTCTGGTTATCTTTCAAAGGAAAACGGCCTAAAAGAAACCCCGAGAGCTCAGTGGCACAACCTCACCCCTGCCACGGAGCACGGCCACACCGAGCTGCGTGCAGGCTGGAGAAGGAATCGCTCTTTGCTCGTTGGGAAGGTGCCCAGTGGGTTTCGTAGGAAGAAGCAGCTGGAGGCAAGAAATTGCTGCTAACGTGTTCGCTGCTTCAAGGGAACGCGAAGCAGAGAGACAGACCGGGGCATCTCTGGCCACTACAGGAGTCATGGGGGGAATTTCATTTTTTTTAATCTTCAAAGGAGTTGTTTTATGTTGTTTGCAGGAGTGCTTCGTAAGACCTGGGTCTTTATTGTATCTCCAGCTAGGGAATAGGGAAAATGGGGATTCTCTGAGCACTGATGTGAACAAGCACAGGACAGACAGGGCCAAATGATAATAGGGTCTGCCAGAACCCACCAGCTGCTCCAGCCCCAGTGATCTCACTGAGAGCTTGCTGCTCTGGGATGTCAGTTCTCAGCGTATTCACCTTCTCTGATATCTCCAGAAGAAAGCAGCCAGTGAGCTGCTCCAAGCTGCTGCTGGCCCCAACCACAGGCTCAGTCTGCTTTTCCAAGAGGTGGCCCCACAAGGTTTGTGTTTCAAACACCCATACACATATGACAGACAAGGTTTGGCAGATACTGAACCACCTGAAGCTTCCCCAGGTGCCAGGATGCAGCTTCCCTCTATTGCCTAACACGTTTTACCTCCCACAGGGGCAGACCCCTCCTAGTAGGAGCCACCGTGCTGTAGATCTCGTGCAGAATACCCTAAGTACAGGTAACTCACTGGAAATAGGACAAGAGGGTACTGTCTGGAAGGGGCTGCACAGAGCATTAGGGATTTCAAAAATCTGCCCCATTTCCTTTGGCCAGGAGCTTTTTTTCAGTCAAAAAATAAGATCTCTGAATCAATGCTGGGCTGACCACTACGTGGGGTGGTCTGCAATGGGGAATTAGCTGGGAGCTCTATGGACGGGGATGGTAGTGCTAACACAGGTTTTGTTCGACAAGGAGATTTTTGCCAGGGTGGTAGTTGGATGTATTCTGAGGCCAGTCCTGTAGAAAGGGCAGCAGTGAGAACAGCTGCTGAGACTCGATTGAGTCAAAATCTCTAAAAGCTCTCACCTTGGTGAGAACTCGCCCTGAAAACACAAAACACGGAGGCTTTCCGAGGCGCACGCCAGCAGCCGTGAAGCCAGCCATCGCGGGAAGGGTGCGTAATGCATGCAGGAGGAGCTGCTGCTGGTGAAATACCCACTTGGGAACTGTTCAGGGGTGTAAGAAAAACGGATCGGAGGTCTTGCCACCTGAATTCCTTCCTCTCCCTCGGTAGGTTATCAGCATGAAAACAGGAAATGAATTGGACACCATTAATAAAACATGAAGCCTTCGTGTTCAGGCTGTGTGCTCTGTTGTTCAAGTGCAGAAGACACTGTGAGAAGGGAACACAGAGGAGTCAAACCCACAAGTTCATTTGCTCTTTCTGACTAACAGCAAACTTTGGCTCAGACTTGGAACTAAAGCTCTCTTTTCTCCCCCTGAATTTATTGAAAAACTTCTAAACCCTCACACAGAAATCCTGGAGGGTTGGCATTGACCTGAGCGTAGTTTTTCAGAACCTAAGAGATTTTCCTAGCAGATTTCACCAATAATTCGGTATTGCCAGTGTTATTATTAATTCTAAAGCGGCTTTCACTGTGATGTAAGGTTATAGATCTTATTTTCTTGCATTTTTTGGAGCTGTTTGCTTGATGCAGATTTTCTTTTCTGTGTGACAATGCCCTTTTTTTGCCTGTTGCTTATATTTGTGATTTTAGGAGCATCCGAAGATATGTGCCTCGCTCTCTTTTGGGGACTCACTTTGCTGGAGGGGAACGGCTGATTCACCTGTCTCATAAAAATGTATTTTTTTTCCACGAAAGAACAAAGGATTCGCCTCAAAGAATGGAGGCCTCTATGAAGTCGGCTGAAAGACCCCACCAGCCCCACCACCTTTTCTGCCTATGTTTTAAAACCGTCTCATGAAAGCCTATGGTCACACTGCTTTACAAGCCAAGGATGAGAACTAGCAGAGCTGTTACGAAAAAGCCATGGGAACAAAAGCAGAAGACCCGGTTCAGCCAGAGACAGAGGCCTTCTGCAGCTATAATAAAGGCTTGTTTTGCTCTATGGGGGAGTTTAATTGCAAAATGCTTAGCATAGGTGAATCATAAGGAGCCTAACCATAGGAAGAGGTTAACCACAGCTATAGGAAGGATTCATCTGAGGCTACAACAAACAAGCTCTCGGTGGGAAGAAACCAAAAGTCTCTCCTGGGCTGTGGACGGGCCCGTTCCTGAAACTCCAAGGTCGAGCTGCGCGTCCAGGGCAGGAATTCTCCTGACCCGAGATAGGGAATGGCCAAGTAGGAGGTCAGGTGGGAGATAAGATGGTTATTGCTAGTGGGAACTGTTGTGGGGCTGCTGTGGCTGTAACCACCAGCTCATCTCCTGGGAGAGGTGGTGCTGAGCGGTCTGCCACAGCTGTGCTGTAACCCGGGGATTAATCGGGCGCCCATGGTTTTGGACAAACCGATGTATTCTCACTTAAATAAATGTGGAAGCGCTGCCTCCGGGGTCCTGCCAGGACCAACGGGCTCCAATCTCATGAAGGTTTTATGCTAGGTCCCAGTTCGTTTAGGGATTCCTGGTTAGGCTCACTGGAAGGAACGTGTTTGCTGGATTTGCCTTGCACCACGTTCCCGAAAGGCAGCAGTGAAATGTTGGGCTGGGTGAGAAACCTGGGCAGTGAGACGGTCCCCATCCAGCGAGGTCCAAAGTGGGAGTCATTATCAGCTCCATTAAACGTGATTTTCTTGGCTGCCGCCTCCAAGTTTGATAGGAAATTGGATTTGACTCATTGCAATACAAAGGGGCAGTTTGGTAAATGTACATTTCCAGCCAAAATCATTAGTCAACTAACAGTGGAATTATGTTTTCGTCGAAGTTCCCGTTACCATTTGGTTTACTTGTTTTTCCTGCCTGGCTCCATCCATAGTGAGTGCAGCCAAGTTCTGATCCTCAGCTGTTTGGAGGTATTCGCTCAGTCCACGAGGGATCTGCCAGACAATTCATTGGACAATATTCAAAGTGTTAGCAAGGTTCCTGCTAATTACGCACAAGGACCCAGATTAACATTTGTATTCCAGCACGTTTTGCGTTAGTTGGGGTTTAGGTCGCGTGGATTGTTTCGCTACACGATTGCATTCATGTTGTCAGAATGTCTAAATATAAAATATTAAAATTACTGTACAGCCGATTCATACGCCAAAGAGCTGATATTCTTTTGGTTGGAAGTGTCAAAATATTTGTAGTGAAATTCTGAGCCCTCGGAATGACAATCTGAAAAAAAAAATAATAAAATATGACAAAACCATTCTTTTCCCTCGGCAGGCTCTGCCAGAAAATGCCCATTTCCAGCGTTCCCAGTCCAGTCGTGGGCTGTTGGCCGCGGTGGCAGTTGAGGACAGCAGGGATGTGCAGGTTTGTCCCTCTGGGTGCTGTGCAGGGTGCTGGCACCCAAAGCAGCCCAAAGGCATTGAAGGGGGGACCCCTGGTGAAGGGGGGAGACCCTGAAATGTGTTTGGGTAGAGCCACAGGGCCACAGAAATGTGGCAGAGCAGCTCCTTCTCCGCAGGTCTGCCCCCACACTGTCTGACCCCAACTTGGGGTGGTTGCACACGGTCACCCTGTGCTCTGGGGACACCAGGCACCTAGTGGGTGAAGGAAATTGGCCCAAAAAAAGAAAAATGTTGGAGGTAGGAAGCCCCGCTTGGAAAAACCTCCTGTGGAAGAAGCCTTCCCATCCAGAAACCACCTTCTGTTTGAGGTTTGGGGCTGTTGGGGTTGGGAATTGGGGTGTTCGTGGGCAGTGGGAACCACGCGGTGTGTGGTGGGCTGGCAGTGCTGGTGTGAGTGGGATCGATGGGGTGGCAGCCGAACCGCGAGCACTGCGGGGGGAGCCTTAATGGGATGGGGGGGCTGCGGGGCTGGGCGTGATTTATGGCGAGTAATCGAGTATTCAGTACCGGGGTAGGAACTGGAGTCACTTAACTTAGATTAAAATGCGACAGCACCTGGTGCTTGCTGCAGATTGGTTTTCCTGGAAGAAGAGGTTGTTCGGAGCAGCCCTCATGCCCCCTTAGAGGGTTTTCTAATGAACGCATCCCAGTTAGTGTTAATAGACTGGCACGTTGGATGTCCAAACAGCTCTTGCCGAAAGTGGTGCCTCCGTTACATCTCCAGCATCCCCTCGTGTCCCAGGTAGAGGTGCTGAGCACTCAGGGTCCCTTTGAAGCCACCAGCTGATGGCTGACCACAGAAGGGCTGGCAGAGCCCCCTTGGTCCTGCCTGGCTTTTGCTGCCCTCGTTCTTGCACCGTTCCTGCTAACGCTGCCTCTGGTTTCCTTGTAAGCACTTCCTGCAGCCGAGCGTTTCAGCTTCTCCCTGCAGGAGTCTGGTTTGTGCCAGTCGTTTTTTTTATAATATATATTTTTTCTTCTGTGTCTAGCCTAAACTTTTCCTTCCTTAGCTCCAGGTCAGTGCTTCTCATGCTGGTGTCTGCTGCCCCTCCCTCTCCTCACTCTGCTGCTCGTTCACATTAACTGCACGATAATTAGAGACTGATCCTGTCCCCTGAGCCTCTGCTTCTCCAGACTACGGCTTAAAATCCTGCCCTCCCGCAGCAAACCCCACTGAGATCCACGGGTTTGGCACATGTCCATTTGGGGCTGCTCTTGCTTTTGTATCTAGTTCTCAGCACCCAGGTCTTTGATATTATAATGGGGGAATGGCAGGAGACCCTGGTTAAGCAAAAACAGAACCGGCCCTCCCTCCCTCCCTCTGGGGGTTGCGGGTTATTAACAGAGCTTTGCTCAGCTGAGCAACATGGAGCCGCCAGGGCTCTGCCCGCATTCCTGTCTTGCAGCTTCAAAATTCTCATACTATTAAAAAAAGGCAGGAACCAGGCAGCTCCGGCAGCTCCTCACCCTGGCATGGCTGCTGAGCTTTTGAAGTGAGCAGCTCGTGAAGTCCTGCTGCCCTCTCTGCTCCCTAAGAGGAGCAGATCCAGGAGCTGGATCCTCCGTGGGCTCAGCTCAAGCCCTGCCACTGGCTGGGCAGAGCCAGCCCTGGGGACACGCAGGGCATGGCACCAGCACCCACGAGTCCAGACCCACGGAAGCTCCCTTGTTTGCTTCCATCTTCTCTCTTGAAGTTCTTTGGTGGCGTCGTGTCAAGTGTTGTGTTGGTGTCTCAAGTCGAGACATCTTTTGGACGTGTTTGGCACAACCTCTTTTAATATTCCACCCATTCCATGGTAGTTGTAGGACCTCATTCTCAGCTGTTTCGCCCCCGTTGCTCCCCTGTGCTGTGTATCAGCTCGGGTAGTTCCCAGTTTCTGGCTTTTCCATTTCCTTAGTCATGCTGACAAGCAGCAAAGTCGCTTCGTATGCTCCCTGCAGACCCTCCAGAACTCACTCTGGAATTCAACACCCGTGCTGATTCCCACCCAGTGCCCTCCTTTCTGGCACAGGGGCTGCTCCTTGAGCCCCCAGCTCCGTGCCCCTGCTCGGCCCCAGAGCAGAGCCAGGCGGCTGCGGCAGAGCCAGGGGAAGGATTTGGGTGCTTACAAACCAGGCCTTGTTGGTTTGGGATCTTTCCATTTGAAGGCTCCTGGCACATTAAGAGCCCTCCCCGGAGTTTTTCATCCTCTTTCAAGCTGCTGCAATAAACCTCTCTTGCAGTTGGCTCCGCTGGTGCTGTCTGTGGTGGGTCTCCTGCGCCGTGCACGCCCCGAGACCCGGACTGAGCATCGCCAAATGTGTGCCTCAGGGGAGCTGCCGGCCCCGTGGCACTGCAGAGCTGGCAGCAGTGGCCCAAGGAGGAAGAGGAAAGCTTTGTGCCACCTCTGCAGCCTGCCCTGCCCGCCTCTGTTGGAGCTGCAGCACCTGGCATCGCTCTCCGGAGAAGCAGACGGGGCAGGAGAGCTGGGGAGCACGTCTTGTATTGCTCGAACTTGGACTGGGCACAGCCCAAGACTTTCACCTCTGTAGTTATAACGTAACCCAGGGAGGAAATCCAGGAGGCTGCAGCTCCCTGAACAACAGCACCACTCACAGCCTGCTCTCGATGCCAGCCTAGGGCCCGAGCCGCAGCGCAGCGGTGTGCCAGCACCAGGGAGCAGGCTGCAGCCTGTTCTGTGTGCCATGGGATGAGGCTGCCGTGGCTGAACGTGGCCAGACCCTTCCCGGTGGCATCTGTGGCCTTCGTCACTCTGTGCTGCCCGTGGTGTGTGCTGAGCACCTCTCCCTGCCCGGGGGTGTCCGCAGGGCTCAGCTCAGCAGGGTGCCAGTGCCCTGGCCCAAGTCTGAAAAGGGGAAGAACAATTTGGGCTGCTGCTTCAAGAACTGCTCCTTGGAGAGCTTCTTTCTGCTGCAACAACAGAGGCACCTACCTAATCAGGAGAACACAGCATTGCTTGGGTTTTGGTTTGACAAAAAGGGTCCAGGACAGTGGAAAGAGGAGAAGCAGCCGAGCCTGCCCGCCAGTTACCTGGGCACGAGCTGCTGGTGGAGACTGGAGTTAACTGGAGCTGAGGGTCAGGCTTCAGCCTCTGCCAGACGAGCCAGCAGCAGAAACTTTCTGAAGAATCCCACAGACTCACGCCCAGTTTTCGAGGCCAGCATTTCTCCCAGCATACACAACCCTGCCCAGGAGGCTAGCGGGGTTGCATTATCTGCAGTTGGAATCTGGACATGAGGAGGCAGGTGCTGGAGCAAACAGGCAGGCACATGAGCAGTTGCAGTCAAAGGCGAGAGCGAGCGTTCCAGCTCTGCACACTCAGCACATTGCATCCCGGCCAGGCAGAGCTGGGGATGGGGAAGGAGCGAGGCAGGGAGCGACTGGGGATGCGCTGCGGGGCTCCTGCCAAACCGAGCGGCAGGAGCCAGGCAAGCACGCTGCCCTGGGACGCAGGGAGGGAGTGGGGATGGTGAGCCTGGAGGCACAGCCCCTCCTGCACCGTGGAGAAAATCCCAAACCGAGTGCTGGGAGTCCCAGGAGCATGGCAGGAGGGGTGCAGCCAAGGTGGCCCCAAGTCCCTGGAGCAGCACCCTGCTCCATGGGGTGTCCCGTGGGGTGCCCGGACATGGTGCTGGGGTCTGCACCCCCCAGGGCTTTGTGTAGGAGTTCTATCCCTCCAGGGGGAGTTTCAACAAATAGGCGGTGAAAGGGGATAGAATTTAAGTGGGGGGTTCAGGGGTTGCCCTGTCCTCGGAAGGGGCTGAGGCCGTGACTGGGTGAGCATCAGGTGAGCCGCAGCAGACGGTGCCTGCGCTGGGGAGCGCTGCCAGCACAAATCTCTTAATAGTCTTTCAGTCTCTGCGAGGCCTTAAAATCAATCAGAGGATTAACTAAGCAAAGCTGTCTTTATGATACATGATCCAGCTTTGTGCAATTGGATCTCGCTTTGCTTGGGCCCCTCTTGGCGGGTGGGCTGCGATCGGAGGAGCCCTGCGGGAGGGCTCGGGAGCGGAGCAGCTCCTGGGCTGCGGGGGCTCGGGGGGCTGCAGCATGCCTGGGAGACACAGCATGGTGCATCTTGTCCCGTCCCTCCTGCTGGCTTCTTCTTGTAACTCAGCATTTCTCTTGACAGAAGCTCCCTGAAGATAAACCACCAGCCGCTTCCGATGAGCCGCCAGCTTCGCATGGCTTCTGTGGCACCTTCTGCCAAGGGTATGTTGCACCTTGCCTTTCGTCTCAGCTTGTGGCACCTGGAAATTTGGCTGTTGGGGCTGAGCTGAGGCCTGGGAGCCGCTGTACCCTTCTACTGCCACGTGCACCAGGAACCTTCCTGCCCCAAGGACCGCTGTTGGATGTCAGCAGTGAAGGAGACAACGGGTCCCCAGTAAGTGCACGTGGTGGCTCCTGCCAGGTCGATATTTCAGTTCATCTGCTGGCACCAGGCAGCAGCTCTGTTTCAAATCAGGCTCAGGAGCAGTTAGCTTGTCCCAAAGCACTCTGCTTTCTCTCCTGCTGAGCGACACAGCGTGCTTGGAGCTGCTCCCAGACACCACCCATGTGTGAGCACCGCCAGGTCCCCGACACCAGGGGCTGCGTTCCCCTGAGTGCTGCTGCTTCATGGCTCCAACTGCTCCCCTTGCACCTGCTCAGCAGCATCGGTCCCTGAGGACTGACAAAATACCCCCAGCACCAAGCGGGCTCTGTTTTCTGGCACCATCCTCCTCTCCCCCAGTCTCTGCCAGGCTGGCACAGCGCAGCGAGGTACGGTGCGATGTAACACGGGGTGAAATCTGGCTGCTGCCTCTCTCCCTGCTCACCCAAATCCACGCTGACTTGAGAGCCACACAGCTGTGGGCCTGTCAGCCACCAGGAGTTTGGTCCATGCAGATTTGCTACAAGAAAATGAGAGCTATAAATAACAGACACCTTGGGCCAGCACGTCAGCGCGAGGTGATCCATTGTCGTGCTCGAAACGTCTCCGGTTGTATTTCATGCTTCTGCGTGAAAGTTGCAAGGAAAGAAAAGTAGCCAGGGTAAAAGCCAATCTTTAGTCACCTTCTGACCTAAAAAAAAAAAAATGGAGCAGAGGGGAAGTTTTGCTGGGCTAAAACTGGGACCGGTTGGTGGCGAGGTGCTGGGGAGCGCTGTGCTGAGGGGTGCTGTAAGAAACCCTGCGTTTTGAGGAGGAATGTGAGAAAGCTTCTTTACACTGGTTGCCCAGCAAAGGGCTGCTTTAGATATTAACGCAAACCATTCCTGAGTTTTGCTGCCCTTAAATCTTTCTGAACTGTTTCTTTTTTGCCATACAGCTGTCCTGGCTCATGCGAGGCGCTTCACTGCCGTGGCTGATCCGGTGTTCTTGGGTGCAACGTCTGTCAGAAATGAGGTGAAATTGTTTAATTCTCTCTTTGTTCTCACTGTTGAAGCACCTACATACCTGGAAAACATCCAGAAAGGACAACAAAGCTGGTCTAGGCTGTAGCAGAGCATCCATGCAATGGACAGCTCGATAGATGGTGGTTCCTGAGCAGGAACGAGGTGCAGGACAGGACAGCAGTCTCCGAAATTGTGAGTAGCACGAGGAAGTCACCCAGAGGTGATTTACTCATTGGCTCTGGTTCATCAAACAAAAGAGGTGGCTCTTTGCACAACGTGTCATTTATCTGCAGAAGCCTTTGCTGCAGAGCGTTGTGGGTGTCGGATGTTTACATGAATTTAGAAAAATAAAAATAAACCGGACGAAGCAGTGGAAGGAAAACAAAAAACACCCTAACAGCTATTGAATAACAAACATCACTTCTGCCATGGGAAATCTCTGTAAGCTGTCAGAGTGCTGTGCAGAGGCATCGCTGCCAGCGCTGTGCTGCCCTCCCTGTCTTCCTGGGCTGGACAGGATCTCTCCGGTCCGACCTCCTATAGGCATTTGCTGTTCTGCTCCTGTGCCTCTCCTCCCCCGTGATCTCCACTCCCTATCACTTTTATCTAAAACTCGCAGCTTTCGTGTTACAATTAAGTCCCGCACTGAATATATTTTTGCTTTGAGAAGAGTCCGGACAATTCTATGTGAAAGCGCCTTCTGGCTGCCCGCGCAGCGCTCTGGAAAGGAAGAGTTCCTCAGACAGCCCTCAGATAGGCTGGCAAGTCACATAAATAGTAAATACGTGGCTCTGAGAGTTGAAGTTTCCCTGGGAAGCCTGAATCTCTAGTTCTGTAACGGCTCGGCTATCAAACGGATGATTTACATCTTATTAGGTGTTTCCATCTGCTGATAGAAAAATGCTCCGTTGCGCAATGTTCCTTTTGCTCTGATCGAGTTCTCACCGTTGCCAGCAGCGCTCTGCAGCCCCCGGCTCGGTGCTGGTGGCACACGGGGGTGCTCGGTCCCGTGGGCGAGCTGGGGGGGCAGCACCCAGGGCTGTGGAGGAGCCGCCTGCGCCCCAGGGGCAGCGTCAGCCGACAGCACCCACCTCGGGGCTCAGCACCCACCTCGGGGCTCAGCGCCCACTGGGCTTGCTGCCACCCATTTCTCCCAGGGTTTTTTTTTTTCCAGGCTTGGATGCAAATCTCCATCGCTCCTGGTTGAGCACATGCCAGTTGGTGCAGTTCTGGCCGTGCTCACCCAAAGGCCGGTGTCTGTCTGTCTGTCTTGCAGCCGGAGCTCTGTGCTGCAGCTGGTGGCAGAAGCTCCAACTTGGGGTGCGCAGAGCGCGCCGCTGCCTTGCTCTCCTTTGGTGCCTGTTCCACTTCCCAGGCTGTGTGTGGGTGCTCTGCCTCCGGAGGATGAGCCGAGGAGCCCACAGACCCCAAAATAATTCATTTGTCCATTGGTACAGGTTCGCATCTCCAAAGAACCCCGAAAAGTATAATGGCTCCAAAGCATCCCAGGACGCGTTGCTCTGCGGCAGTCCCTGGGAGTACACTCCCCTCACACATCAAACAAAGAGCCTGGAAGCTGCATTCAACAGGCAAGTAAAGCTGAATATTTTAATCAGCAAAAACAGAGGGGAAGAATGCTGAGACGAGTGAAGAGAGGAGGGAAATCCTGGGCTCAGTGCCTGGTTCCTAATCCCTGAACTGTCTTACTCCAGCATTGTGAAAGCCAGGAGGAATAAACCTAATACCATAGCTTCTTGCCATCAAGAAACCGTGTATTAATACAGAACTGCTAAGGTAATTAACCAAATCAGACTTGGTCCAGTGCTGAAAAGGATTTCTTCCCCCAGGGATGGGCAGATGTCTCAATCTAATTATACAAGTTATTTAATCAGAATCAGAGGTCGGGTATCTAATGAAAATACTACCGAACGCGGAGGCAGAGGGGGGGCACGAGCTTCCCAACTGGCAGCGCTTCTACAGCTCTCCTGCCTCGTTTCTGTACACAGCTTTAGCAAGATCTCCAGGTAGGAATTTGAAACAACAACAACAACAAAAAAAAAAAGCTAGTGAAAAGAACATGTGCTAGCAAAAGTTTGTTTCGCTGCCTGGTGTGAAAAGAAAATTCTTTGGTAAATGTCATCAGCGCTTCGCCTACCCGCAGTGCTGCCCTAGGAGCAAGGAGCTGCCTTGTGTCTCAGGTGGTTGATAGCTCTGTTACCATTTTGTTAGCCTTGGTTTACCCAGGTAAAACCCCTAGCAGGTGCCTGCAGCCTGCCGATGGCCCTGTACGTGTGTGGTTGGCAGCGGCTGGGAAGCGCTGGCTTGCAGGAAGGGTACACACCGCGTCCTCGCTGATGGGCAGAGCCCTGGACTTACATGATCCACAGGTGCCCACCAACCTTTATAACACTTCCCAGGGGTGAGGGTCTCCTCTTGATTCCTTCCTGGAGTCTTTGTGTGCATCACACCAACAGCAGCCCAGCTGGGGACCAGCCTCACTCTGCATTTCTGGCTCTGCCATCACAGTGCGCCCCTGGAGCCACACGCAGCCATGGGGCAGTCAGGAGGGAACGCTGGCCCTGGCTGCTGTACTTGCCTCTGGGCCCTCTGTCCAGAAAGATCCCAAAGGTTTTGGTTTTACCAGCCAGCTGCAACCTTGCCAGCTTGTCATTAATGCTGCTACCTACGAGGTTACCTTCTGCCATTCTGATGCATTGAGAATTTAAAATAATAACTTATGATCACGTGGACTAAACGAGGACAGAGAGAAAATGCTCTTTAGCTGAAGATCTCCTTCAGTTATTTAAATGTGTGTATTTTCTTGATTAGTTTCAATGCATCTTAACCTTATACTCTGTCCCGTCTAAATAAGTCGATGTGTTTGCTGCGTACAGGTATGAGGTGCCACGGACATCTAGAAGAAATGGGCAGCCTTCACTCACATTTCTTTCTTCAGAAGCATGGAGCTGTTGGTAACAGCTCAAGGGAAGAAACAGCGCTTGTGATCGTGTAGTTGTGAACAAACAGCTTGTGATATGCTGCAAGACTCCGTCAAAGAAGGTGGGAGACTTCAGCCTGGGAAGGTGGGGAGCGCAGGGGCCATCTGAGTTCGTGCAGGCTTCAGCTCCGTTCTGTGAGAATCTGCTCCACTGAGACACGTTGGCAAAGTGTGGGTTCCCTTTGTTCATGTAGAAATCTGCTCACAAAAAGCCTTGTGCAAAAATGGCCTGCTCTTCTTCGAGCACCTACAAATGGCAAAACTACGAATTGAGCATAGATATGGGGCTTTTTTTTGCATATTTTTTTTCCTGTGAGCTTGTAACTTTGCAGAAACAACTGAAGCTGAGCTGAGGCACTGAAGCCATTGAAAATCTGACCCTGAATATTAAACAAGCCCCGTGTGAGGTCGTATTCATCTAGGGGATTTAACCAATTCTGAATCGCCAAACCACCATCCCCTGAAAGAGAATTTACTAGACAATAGGAAAGGGATTGACAGAGAAAGGAATAAAGATGAAATGTGATGTCTGCCTAACCTATTTTTCTTCACTTCCATACCCATCACGTATCCTGAGCTCTTTAACCAGCCCCTTAATGAGAACTCTTCTCTGGTTTTGTGTCCCTAAGTGACCAGAGCACCGTCTGCTGCGGGCTCTCCCCCTTCCCACCCTGCTGCCCTTCAGCTGGGAAGCACCGACGTGGCTGGGAACAGCTTCAGCAGGGCACTGGGAAGCGGTGACCCTAATAAGAAGGAACGGGACGAGAAGTGTTGGGAGCAGGAGTCGGAGCGAGGAGGTGACACATCACCGCGCCGTGACTCAGGAGAAAGGCCAGGTCCCGAGGGCCTGTTGACTGCAGTGGGAGTTTGTTGGCCCACGGTGCAGCTCAACAAAATACAAGAAATACGAGCTGTGGCACAGATCGGAGCTCAGATGAGACGGTCCTGTAACCAGTCTGAGGAGTGCTGGGCCCTCGCCAGCGAGCTACTTGCAACACACGAGGAACAAAGAGAAATTTGACTTTGAACTGGGCTGTCCTATATCCAGAAGAACTGTTGCGTTTTTTTGTGTGCTGTACAAATAATGCACTGCTTGTATCACTGTGCCTATTCCCCACCAAATACCTGGGTTATCTACCTGTGAATTAACAAAACAGGTGTGTGTGCACTGTAGGGTGCGTGGCATTGTGGCATCAGACCTCATTTGATGCCATTTAATGGCATCTCACTTGTTCTGGAAACAAGCAGGATCTGCTCCTGCCCTGTCAGCTGTGGAGTCCCGCACGACACGGCCAGCCTGCTTTTGGAAGCTCCAACTTCTTTGAAGCAAATAGTTCCTTAAGGGGAGGTTGAGGAGCAGTTCTTGCCTCAGATTTGCCTGCTTACAGGCAGCCTTGTGGAGCTGGGACAGTCCCTGCTCGGGGAGATTTCTGGGAACACAGCAGCGAGCGCCAGGACCGAGCAGGGATCTGTCATTGCGGATCTGGTAATCCCTCTTTCAAAATCCAATTAATTAGAGTCCATTCAAACTGGAAGGTGGAGAGCTTTGATTTCTGTCTTTATGGGGAAGGAAGAACACTTACGATAAGATCTGGGAGCGGGGTTTTGCTGGTGACGGCCGCGGGGAGGACGGCTGCTTGGCCCCTTGTCACTGGGAGCAGCAGCGGTGTCTCCGCAGGCAGCACATCTCCCCGGGGCTGGGGGCAGGGGGATCGTGTTTGGAGGGCTCCCCCCCGGCACCAGCACCGAGTGTGGCCGTGCTCCAGGCTGAACGCAGACGTGGAATTAACGCCTCCTCCCATCCACGTCTGTGGAGAGCTTTTTACTGGCGTCAGTGGCAACAGGATCAGAGTGGAGTCTTAAGGCTCTTCCCCTGGAGCTTGGAGGAGTTTAATGGAATAAAGTCTACGTTGTAATTAATTGGCTTCTGCTTCTCCTGCAGGAAAGAGTTAATGAAAGCAGAGCTTGTCTGGCCAAGGGGCTGGTGCGGCTCCAGCAGAGCAGTGACTCACCGATAGAGCATCCTGCCAAAGCACCCAGCGAGCTCCTCATCCTCAGATCCTCCTCTCCAAACATAATAGTGTGAATTGGTCCAGCATCATGGCTAGGAAGGTTTGTCTCTTGCAGCACCTGCTCTTCCCACTCAGTTCAATACTCTGCTTGCTTAAGAAACCTCCTTGCATTGTTTGCCAGGTGAGACCTTGCATGTCTGGCTGTGTTACGTTGGTCCCGTGGTGCAACCCCTGGTAATCTCATTAGGGCTCTCTACAGGAGTGAAGAAGATAGAGGTTAACAGAATAATTTAAACAAGTAAGGAAAAGGCCAAAGGGAGGACTGAAGCAGGTTGTCTGGGTGAGTTACTGGAGGATGAGCCTTGGAACTGACCGATTTTGGTGCTTTCACCGTTGAGCTTGGCTCAAAAAGAAGCATGGAGCGATGAAATTTGGTGCTGGCATCCTGCTTACCAAACAGCCTGTGCTCAGCACCACGCTGCCCCGGGTGTGATCCCCTGCCTCAGTCACTCACCATTTCCCTCCCTCTGGAGAGGGAGAGCCCAGCGAGGAGCTGGGCAGGGTCCCCTCCTGGCTGCTGAGTGTCACTGATGGGCACGGGCAGGGGAAGCGTAGTCTGAGGGCTGGCTGCTGTTCTCCAGGGGCACATGAACTGAATTTCATTAAAAATGGATGCTTTCCTTCCTGCTGAACCCTTGTCCCCCTCCTCAGTTACCAAAACAGGGCCAGCGATGGGTCACGGAGAGAGCCAACACGGTGGCAGAGTGGCGGTGCCGGCAGCAGCGAGGGAGGGCTCGCGGTCTTGGCAATGAGCTGAATTTCTAACACTTTGAATCCAGACTGGCACAGCATAAATATATGGATTAGTACCGGTACAACAGATCAAAACCTGAGGAGGAGGGTTTAAACAAGGCATAATTTGTAGTAACAACAAAATTGCAGGGTTTCATCACTTCAGCTCCCAACCCTCACACCTCAGCCTCGCCACAAAGAAAATATCTGCCTCCCCGTTCCTCTGCAGCTGAGCATTTCTCAAAACATCTGAGCGTTTTTAAAAACACCACGGTTTGGGTAGCCAGCCCAGGAAGGCCAGCTGTGGAAACACACAGCGTTGGGGTAATCAGCACAGGGTGGGAAGACGAAAGGGACACGAGGCTGAATCTGTCTGGAAGGTGGCAAGTGAGGGGTCCCTGTACGATTCTCCTCCCTCGGCAGGCTCTGTGCAGGTTGCAGGGGCTGTGCTCACAGCTGCCGGGGAGGCAGGGGGACACGAGAGCTCCTGGGGTTGGCGGGGTCCAGGCGTGGGCATTCCCCAGCTCCCGTTACCCGTCGCACACCGGCGAGCACGAGCTGCTGCTCTGAGTTGGAGGTGGTTTCAGATTGACAAGATCAAGTGACGGCACGACTGTAGGCACCTTTATCTGCTGTATGCATAATCCTCCGCGCTGAACCCCCGCCAAACTCATCCCCAGGTCTTATCTTTTCTAAACTGAGTATTTATTCATGTGGTTGTTTTATGTAAACTGCAAAGAGCCTCATTAAATGGAAACCTTCGCTCACGAGCTCCATTATTAAGGTGGAACGGCGCTCGGGACCCGCCGAGCAGAATCCCCAAGCATTTTGTGTTATTTGGAGGAGAAATGCTTGGTGCCCTGCAGTCCGGTGCCGAGCCCTCCCGTTACCCCCACTACCTGCAGGAGGCTCCCCGAGGGCTGAGTGCAGGCAGCTTCGGGGCCAGGAGGGCAGGAACGGCCCCTGCTGAATGAGAAAGGGGAGCTCGGGACCTGCCCTGCCCTGGCAAACCCAGAGAAGCTCATTTGGCTACTGGAGAAGGACCGGGCATGGGTGAGGGCGACCTGGGCAATTGCTGTGGGCACGGGGCTTGCAGCACCTTAGGAGCTGGCTGACAAGCTGGGAGCTTTGGGAAGGGGGGAGTTTTTTGCAGATAAAACCCCATCGCTGGCACGCTGGCGTTCGCTGCAGGTAAATCCCAATATTTCCCTGAGTTTTATTTGTATTATAAATGCTAATGGCAGAGTTTGAAACAAAAGGCACGCACACATGGTTAACATACTGGCAGTGCTCGCATCTCTCTGAAGCTGGGAATGAATTCTGCTCTGTGTTTTTCCCTTTCTTAGCCCGACTGAACCCGGTCTGTACCTCACCAGCCACCAGGACTGTGACGTTCCCGTGTCACCAAACGACCCCCGTGGCATTTCACTCCTACACAACGGACGGCTGCTCATCAGACTAAAATTAAAGCAGGTAACAAATCAATATCCCAAACCCGCACTGCTTTTGGACAATCAGCATTTCAGGGCCGGCTTGTTTGCCACAGCGAGGCACGGCTCTTCTTTATTCAAACCCTCCAGCGGCATTAACATGCTCGGTGCGGATCCCTGCCCTGTCATACTTCTTATCTCAAGGACAGCACCTCCGACAGCAAAATGCCCCATCCATCACGTGGGAATATTAGCAAGCGTCCGGTCCTCTCGAGGATGAATAAAACCCGGGGCCCGCTGGCTCCACGCCAAGCCGACCGCTTCCGAAAGCTGCCGCGGCCCTCCCAGGCCATTCATGCAGCCGAGCTGTTTCTTTAGGGCAGCGGGCACACGTGATTAAGCGAGGGGATATTTAGGGGGGAAACAACAACTCAAGAAGCCAAAAGGGACTCATCGTGTGTGCCCAAAATCACACCGAGCCCCCCGCAGAGCCGTGCGTGCGCTCCTGGGTGTGTGCACGGGGCCGGGATGCCGTCCCGGTGCCCCGCTGGGCACGGGGCTCTTGGTGCTCGTGTGGCTGTGTGCATCCTGCGTTCTGCTTGCCTTTGTTTTGGTTGGTGCTTCTAATCCCCCGGGGCATATCTCTGAGCTGAGGAACTTTAGAGCTGATACAGCTTTTTAAAGTGGGGATTATGTAAATGCATATTACGGGGCTTTCATAAATAGGGATTATTTGTCGACTGCATTTGAGTGCTTCCTTTGGAGCCATTAAGGTCTGTTGTGTAAATAGGAATTTAGTGACTGCTTAATCTAAGTTTCATTGATTCAATAAAAGATCACAACAGCATCTTTTGCATTCATCTTGGCCTTGTGAGAACAATTCTTTGTGGACAATTTTCAGGTGGTTACAGGACCATATACACTTCGTGCTAACCATTGTGAGCAGACCTTGCATCAAGCGTTCTCCACGAGTCACTGTGTGTTTCCCTTCCTCACTAGTTTTGTAATTAAAACCACTGTCATCTCAGCCACTAACTTCTAAGTTACCACTTACTAAGTTATCACTCACTGGCCCTGCACCTGCCAAGCCTCACAGATCCCGTTGGCACCGCATGGGAGCTGAACCTAAACCGGGAGGAGAGCTGGAGGGGGAACCAGCACCTCCTGCACAAACCCACGGGGAGAATTCCTCCGGCTCCCTGGGGACAGGCTCCCAGCAGTGTCCTGGTGCAACACAGTCCCTCATCACAGAGCATCCTCGAGCAGCAGCAAGCCCAAACACCCCCATCACCTGGATCCAGATGGGGTTGGGGTGCTGCCACCAGCACCCCCAGCCCCGCTTCCCCACACGCCCAGCTCGCCCCGATCCATCCTCCCCCGGCACAGCTCCAGCTGCATTAGGTAGGCGCCTTCTGATGCTGTCACAGTCACACAGAGAATGAATAATATCGAACATCGCCCATGGGGTTGTTTATTCCTTGAACAGGGAAGGGACTGCATGCCAATATTCCTGGTAAGGCATAATGAAGGAGCTGCCTTTTGCTAGAAAACTTGGACGCCCTCCTGCAGGGATTTGCTGGATGATACAGCTGTGGAAAAGCTCTGTAAAAAAAAATAAAATGTAATAATGAAAAAGCACAGGCTCTTTCAACCTCCTCAAATACCGACAGAGCCTCTCAGGCAGCGTTACCTCCGCAGCAGCGTGGGGAAGGGGCCACGTGGCGCACCGAGAGGCACATCCAGCCCTGGAAGTTGGTGTTTATGAGGCCACCTCTCACCCCCTCCCTTGCTGCTCGACTTAGGGTCACGTCTCTCCTGTGCCTTCGCCTCCTTCCCGTTGTTTTACGAAAGAGAGACTTTGCCACCTGGCTCTCAGTTCTGGAGGTGGAGTTACAGAGGGAAGCGTTAAATGGGATTTTCTCATCCTCTGTTCTTTGCTGTTTCCAGCCTCTAAATTCAACTTTTATTGAGCAAAACAAGCCCAGAGCACAGTCTGTGCCCGACACCTTGGTTTGAAAAGATCATTTGATCAGGCACAAACCACTGTTACTGCCTGAATGGGCTGCAATGGGGACCCAAGTTACCACATGTTGTATTTTCTCCTCTGGTGAGTTCTGAAACACGTAAACAGGAGTTTGAAAGGAGATCCAGACCTCAGCCTTTGGAAGTGATTAATTCCTACTAATGATTTACTGATTTACACACAGCTTATTTTGCATAAAGTTAGAGCTGGGCACATTTATTCATTGTGATTCCCTTAAAAATGGATATAAATATCAAGAGCAATTGGCTACCAAAAATTTGAATATTACGGCACTGCATCATGCAGAGCTGACATGAATATGAGTCTGGGTCAGAAAAAAACACACAGAAAATGCTTATCCAAGTATGATATTTTACAGCACGTCACTGAATCATCAGAAAGGGTTATATTCATTACAGACGTAGGCAGCGTTTGCAAAGGATTCCTTGGGAAAAGATGAAAAAAAAAAAAAAAAAGCATTATTTTCCTAGTGAAATGTGCTCTGTGATCTATGGAAGCCATCTGTCCTGCAAGGTCCTGCCTCTTCCCAGGGCCGTACACCTGAAGGGAGGTACCGGGCTCAGCGAAAGGAACCGATTGCACATCACAGCCAAAAAATGCCCACGTTCAAACCCAAACTTGTCCAATTTGGCAAGGATGGCGCGAAATGGAGCCTGCCAGGTCTGGCAGCCCCTGGGACCACCGTGCCCAGGTGTCCCCCCGGCAGGGAGCTGGGCGTCAGCGCGTGGCCATTGACATGTGGCGCTCGTACTCGTATTGATCCGGAGGTTTGTTGCTCGCCCAAGCCCTTGGCAAAGGTCACCGGCTCTGCTCCCATGTTACAAATGGGAGCACGGAGGCGAAGAGATTAATTTTCAGAAGTGATTAATGTTCCCGGTGCCCATCCTGATTCACTTCAGGCCTCGAGCCCCAAACGAAGTCTGGAGCTGGGTTAATTAAGGTGTCCCTTGCCCCTCTCCCAGCACCGCCAGACACGTCCGTTGCTTGTTGTCCTTGTCTTTTCCCACAAACTCCTCCACCCTTTATCCCGTGCCAACCCGCAAACCGGCTCAGGGACTTGCCTCTGAGGCTGCTCCTTTCTCCTCCCCAAGCCCCACATTTCCCATGACGCCCAAACGGTCTCGGATCCTCTCCCCTTGGCCCTTGGAGCTTTATGGGACGGGGAAGGAGCTTCAGGAGGAGCCCCCCCACCTGCCTGGAGCCTGGGCACTGCCCTCAGCACCACGATCCAGGCGTTAACCAGCAGGCAGCCGCGCTGGGGATGTTCTCCCAGCCACAGATACCTGCCAGTGCTGGGCCAAATGACGCTTTGTGCACTGGGATGAGGAGGCTTCAAGGCAGAGGGCAGCGACGTGCCTCCAGAACGAGGGGCTCTTCCCAGCTTGGGGGCTGGAAAAGGGGCTGGGGGGAGTGGGGACACTGCAGGTGACAGACACGGATGTGAGCTGGGGCATCAGGCGGGCTCTGCAGCGTGCTGGGCTGGGCTGTGTCAGACCATGGGTGCTGTGTGACCCCAAGCTGTACCGTACCATACCGTACTGTACCGTACCGTAACGTGCTGCACCAGTGCCATACAGCACCGTACAGGATGGCACCATACCAGGCATACCACACAGTGCTGCACTGTGCTGTACCGTGCTGTACTGCACCATGTTGTGCGGTACTGACCTGTACCCTGCTGTACCGTTCTGGACCATGCCGTACGGTGCTATATTGCACCGTGCTGTGCTGTACCACCCTGCACCATACAGCACCATCCCATACAGCACCATGCTGTACTGTACCGTATCTCACCGTACTTGACCACACCACGCGGTGCTGTTCTATAAGTGCTGTACCCCTGGATCCTGTACCCTGTATCCTGTATCCCTGGAGGTCTTCAAAAGACGTTTAGATGTAGAGCTTAGGGATATGGTTTAGTGGGGACTGTTAGCGTTAGGTCAGAGGTTGGACTCGATGATCTTGAGGTCTCTTCCAACCTAGAAATTCTGTGATTCTGTGATTCTGTACCGCTCCGTCCTGCAAAGCACCACGTCCCGCACCTCCCCGCACCGCCCCGCACCACCCTGCCCAGCACCGTCCCACAAAGCACCACCCTGCCCCATCCCATCCAGTACCGTCCCATCCCATCCCATCCCACCCCACCCCACCCCGCCCCGCCCCGCCCCGCACCCCCCTTCCCCTCCCCAGCCCCGCGCCCGTCGCCCCCCAGCCCCCCACGTGGCCTCGAGCCGCCCGGCATGAATGAACGCCCCTCCTCCAATCCCCGCCCTCCTCCCTCCCCCCCTCCCACTCAGGCCACGCCCCCTCCACCACTCCCCCCCCCGCCGCCTCCCCTCCCTCCCACCAATAGCAGCCGGGCCCGCGGGGGGCGCGCCCCCCTGCCTCCTCCCGGCCTATAGGAGAGCGGCGCGCGCCTACAGCCGACCAATGGGGCGCGGGGGGCGTGTCCGGCGCGCGGCGGCGCGGCGGCGCGGCGCGGGGCTCTAAAGCGGGGCGCGGGGCGGCGCGGCGCACACGGCCATGGCCGCCGCCGCCCAGTACCTGCCGCGCGGCGCCGCGCTGCTGCACCCCGACGGGGAGCGGCTGCCGCAGGCCGCCACGTACCGCGACGTGCAGAAGATGATGCACCACGACTACCTGCAGGGGCTGGCCCCCGCCGCGCTGCCCCACCACCAGTGGCTGCCCAGCGCCGGCACGGATTGGGGCAGCGGAGGAGGTGGTGGTGGAGGTGGAGGAGGAGGAGGAGGAGGAGGTGGAGGAGGCGGCGGGGGACCCCCCGGTGGGGCGCACCTGGCGGCGGCCGAGCACGGCAAGGGCGGCCCGGGGGGGCCCCGAGATGAGCTGCCCCCCCCTCCTCCTCCTCCTCCTCATCCGCCGCCGGCCGCTTTCCATCACCGGCCGCACCTCGTGCACCAGGCGGCGGCGGGCGGCGCGGCGGGCGGCTGGGCGCAGGGCGGAGCGCACCACCTGCCGCCCATGTCGCCGCCGTCGGGGCAGCCGCTGCTGTACGCGCAGCCCTACGGGGGGCTCAACGGCATGCTGGGCCCGCCCGGCCCCGCGCTGCACCACGGGCTGCGGGACCCGCTGGGAGCCGAGGAGGCCGGGGGCCACGAGCTGGCGGCCTCGCCGCCGCCGCTGGGGCCGCCCGAGCCGTCGGACGAGGACGCGCCCAGCTCCGACGACCTGGAGCAGTTCGCCAAGCAGTTCAAGCAGCGGCGGATCAAGCTGGGCTTCACGCAGGCCGACGTGGGGCTGGCGCTGGGCACCCTGTACGGGAACGTCTTCTCGCAGACCACCATCTGCCGCTTCGAGGCGCTGCAGCTGAGCTTCAAGAACATGTGCAAGCTGAAGCCGCTGCTCAACAAGTGGCTGGAGGAGACGGACTCCAGCACGGGCAGCCCCACCAACCTGGACAAGATCGCGGCGCAGGGCAGGAAGCGCAAGAAGCGCACCTCCATCGAGGTGGGCGTCAAGGGCGCCCTGGAGAACCACTTCCTCAAGTGCCCCAAGCCCTCGGCGCACGAGATCACCTCCCTGGCGGACTCCCTGCAGCTGGAGAAGGAGGTGGTGCGGGTCTGGTTCTGCAACCGGCGGCAGAAGGAGAAGCGCATGACGCCGGCCGGGGGCCCGCACCCCCCGATGGAGGACGTTTACGCACAGGCGGACACCTCGCCGCTGCACCACGGGCTCCCCGCCGCCGTGCCCTGACTGCCCCGGCCCCGCCGCCGAGCCCCGACGGCGGCGGCGGAGCGGGAGCGGCCGCCCCTATAATTTATTCCTCGGACTGGCCCGGCCCGGCCGCCCGCCCGCAGCGCTATTTATTGGGGGCGCCGGCCGCAGCAGAAGTAGCCAAAGGTTTGCGATCTCTAATTTATTCCCTCCCCCGCGGGGCCGCCGGAGCCCCCGCTGCGGCCGCCGGGCTCGCCCCGAGGGCACCGCGCCGCGCTCCCGGCCCGTTTCTATTTATTTTCTAACCGTGCGCGGAGCTCTGCCCCTCCCGTTGGTAGGTTCGGTTCGTTCCCCCCACCCCAGTCTCCCCCCCCCCCACCCCCTTTCCCCTTTGGTTTCGGTTTTTTGTTTGTATCTTTATTGCAAAAACCACTGTAGACTGCGAGGGTGCGTTTCTATTTATGTTATAGTAAATATTTTATTACTTACATAAACCATTTACCCAGGAACCGGTCTCGTGTCGTCTTTGCGGGCTGCGGGGACGGGACCGGGCTCCCGAGGTGACCCCCGAGGGGTCGCCGTTGTCCTGAGGCTGCCCCCGTTGTCCCCCCCCCCCCAGCTCCCCGGGGGGCTCCGTCGGGGCTCTTGTGCGAGCGGCCGGCCGCGGTGCTGGGGGTGCGGAGCCTTTCGCTGCCCCGACCGCAACTTTTTGCCGTCCAGGAAGCGTGACTTCTCCCCGCTGCTCACCGAAATAACAAAATAATGCCCCGCGGGGTAGCAAAGAAGACTCCCTCTCCTCGCCCCAAGCGCGCTCCGGGGTTTTCCGATGCCACCGCTTTCCCCCTCCGTGGCTCCGTGCCCCGCTGGTTTGTGGTTACGCCGGGAGAGGCTGAAAATGTCGCTGCCGTGCTCGTCTGTTTGTGGAAGGATCAGCTCGCAGCTCTCCTTAACCTCTTCTTTTGCAGCAGACGCCAAGAAAAGTCGCACGTGAGGATTGAGTTTGCCTTTGCGGGTCCTTTGATTCCAGCGGTGTTTTGTGTGTGTCGGGAGAACTTCTGAAACGTGCCTATGCAGAGCTCTTGCACTGGGGAAATATTTAGAAATCTGGTGGTAAAGCACCAAATGCTTTCTTTTTATTTAGCAGAGAACTTAACGTATGGTCTTGAACGTCTGGCGCTCGCTAGTTTCCCTGCTCAACCCTTGGTACGAAGTACACGCTGTGAAAGAGCAGGCTGAAAAGGGATCTCCTAGTGATAACCCCGCGTATAAATTCAGATATAAATGTATTTTTTACATATCAAATGTAATTTACGCTTTAAAATCTCCACATGAAAATTCTTGTGTTTGCTACAGCTTGGTTTTGTTGCATTCTGTGCCTTTGGGGTGTATCTGTGTGTAAAATTTCCCTAAGCAGCAACGCATTTGCAGTGGATCATGTAATGAATTATTGCGTTCTCAGCATCTCTCACTGTAGGTGTTCTGCATTGGACCATTCAAAAATGCAAAGTGTTGCTCGTTCAGAATTCTGCTAAACTGTTTTTGAGATTTTAAAATAAAGTCGCTCTGAGCAGTTATTTCGTTAACCCCTGTTTGCTTGCAAGTGCGGAGAGCTGTGGCTCACTTTGAACAACTCAGCTGGCCGGTGCTGCAGGTCAGCGCGTTAACAACTTCCCTTGGCACGCAGAGCCTAGCCAGAAATCACACGTGAAGGATTCGATGGGCACTGTGTGTTTTGTCAGGTTTGTTTCAGGCTTCGATTCTTTTTTTGCTGATGTGACTTTTTCCTATAAAAGCACGGAACTGTAGGGCTGTTAAAGTAAGTCCTGGGTTCTAAAAGTTTTTCTGTGTTTACCGAATATTTTCTAATTTCTAAATTGCTGAGTGCATGCGGTAGCTTAGATTAAACACTCTGCTTAAAAAAAAAAAAAGTACAGGAGCGTGATGATAAATGCATGGAAACAAGGGTTCAAGTTGATGTGTGGAGAAAGTATTTAAATTTATTATCAACAGTGAAATCTTCCCTTAGCCGGTCTTTTGTGTGCTTCACACACAGCCCATTGTGCTCGATGTTTGGTAACGCTGCAACTCTGCAGCCTTTCCTTAAGAATCTCGCTGACAGCCGGGCTGTAAGGAAGACCCACCGAACAAAAGGCTCTATCTATTTATTCTTTTTCAAGGAAACAAACTCTTGTTTGCATTGAATGAGTAAGTGCACGGCTTTTCTAGGCTAGGAGTGATTTCAGTAGCCTCTCTCTGAACCGACCTGCCTGGCAAAGAGGATTCACGCTCATACTTGGGAGGGAAGGGTCAGTTTTCACATCGCGTTCCTGTAACGGATGAGATGCGCTGTGAGTGCCGGGGAGGACGAGCACCCTTGGGTTGTGCGCTTTGTCAGATTGGATAAGGCGCCGGCGGCCCCGCTGCCTTAGCTCTCTCGTGCTGTTGAGCAGCAAAAATAAAATACATTTTATACATCTGATTTGTGCAGCGCCGCGGTGCTCAGCTGCTCTGCGAAGCAAATGCCCCAAAGGTTCGCCTCACTTAGGAGAACTTGTTAGTTTTCTTGGTCAAGGATTAAATAGCAATTACTGGAGGGAGAGTTGCTTTTTTATATATATTTTCTTCTTTTGTTTTTGTTTTTTTTCTTCTGTTTTTTCTCGCTGAAGTGAAGGTATGAGCTTGTACGGTTGGACCAGGAGCCAAGCGCATGAAGGTAGGACTGTGATGTTGGTACATGAAGGAAAAGCAGACGTATAAAGAGCTGCTTAGCGATGCACAAACAAAACAGAAGAATATTCCAAGTAGGATGTGCAAAATATTCCAAACAGGACAAGGAAAGGGCAGGGGAGCTCTGTGCGTCCCTGTCCCATGACCCAGGACCGGGAGTGCTGGGTGCTGCTGCCTGCAACCCCGTGGGGAGCTCTGCACATGCACGGGGGCTCTGCTTTGGCCTCGCTTGCTCAGCACCGGGCTGAAGCCGTCCCCTGCAGCATGAGCAGCGGTGTCCTGAGCTCCCCTGTCCCGCTCCTGGCCGGGAAGCAAGGGCTGGGGTCTGTGGAGGTGAGGCAGTGGAGCTGCAGGAGCTGCAGGGACTGCAGAGGAGCAGCAGGAGCTGCTCTGCCCTATGCTGGATATCTGCGATTTTATGAAACTGCATTTTTCTCTAAGGCAGGCAATATTCAGCAGACTGCTGTTTATTTTTTTATTATTATAATTTTTATAAGAGGGGGGAGTTAGTTGCTATATATAGAAGAAAGAAAGATAAATATGAAGAAGGTGCTTAGCTGCTGCTCGGTTTTCCTGTGTCCTCAGGAAAAGGTTGTGGCGTGCCAAAATCCACCTTGGTTCTAAAATTTCTTGTCTCAGACTGTCACCACTGCCACTTGCAGGGAGTGCTTGTCCTGTAAGAAGTGCAGGAGGGACTCAGCCCGGCACTCTGCCTTGCTAGGCACGGTCTCGTGTAATTATTGATGCCGTATTCATTTTATGCTTTCAGCTGAACCCGATCTCCTCTGCTCACTGCAACCTGCTCAGAGCCCGATGGCAGCCGGCCGTGCAGACTGTCCCCGAGCAGCTAAAGCAGCAGCGGGAGCTCAGGAGCTCATCTCTACGTGTAAATGTGGAGCATCAGCGTTAGCGCCCTGGAAGCTCGTTCCCACCTCGGCCCGTCCCTGCTCGCTGGCTCTCCGGCAAGGAGGGATTTCAGCACCGCCTGCCTGAGCGTATATTTTAATTCTGTGCTAACGCCACCGATGTTTGCATGCGCTTTAACTCGATGCTTTAACTCATGCTGCCGCTGCTTGGTTGGGGCTGGATCAGCCCCGGGAGGGCTCAGTCGGTGCTGTTACTTCGCGGGTACCCGCAGTAAAAGGGGTTTGTGCCCACAGGGGATCTGCAGCTCCTTGCAGCCAGGTGTCACAGACTGGCCCATCCCAGCTGACAAACTGGGTTTGGGTGCAGGAGGGGAGCACGCCCAGGAGCTGATCAGCTCTGGGCAGGGCCTGGGGGGCTGATTGTAAGCCCCTAATGTCATGTACGTGCCCACAGGGGACAGTGTCTGGCTCGCTGACATTCTCAGCGCTGCTCAGACCTGGCAGGGCAGAGCCTCGTGGAAGGGGCAGCCCCAACAGCCTGCAGGAGCAGGGCATGGGCTCTGCCCAGCACCACGGTGTTTGGGGAAGGCACAAGGCACGGGGCAGCAGCTCCTTAAACCCTTCACACAACCCCACGGCACCGAGCAGCGCTGATGTGCGGGCACCCGGCATCGCTGCCGCTTGTCGTTTGCTGCTGAGCATAACTGTGCTCACAGCTCCCACCTGGGCACAGAAATACCAATAAGGGCAATCAGCAGATGTTTGCCTTTGTGATTCATGGAAACTCGCCTGCGAAAGTTCCCCCTCGTTTCAATTAGGACTAATGAGAGCTGGCTCCAGCGCGCAGCCCATCACGCCGGGCACGGGGATTACGAGGCTGCAGAGGCAGCATTAGGGCGCGCGGTGCTGCGTGCCACATCCAACGTGCACGTTAGAGCAGCCCTCATGAATGTTTCATGCTCCTCCATATCGCATTATTTTGGGGGTTGGTCAAAATGAATGTTATCGGCTGGAAGTGGCGCAGAGCAGGGATGTGTTAGTGCTCGGCACCCGAGAGCACCTGCTACAGAGGGGAGCGCTGTCCCTGCCAAACTTTAAAGGTATTTTTTTAATCAATTTTCTTCTATTTCGGAGCACCCTGCCCCATGAAGCTGTGTCCCAGCACCCCGCTGGATTTCCTCGTGGGCATGCCAGGTTTTGCAGCCCCGACCCCTCTGCTGGGTTATTGCTCTCCCAGGTCCTTTTGCTTTTTAATCCCTGCAGCGATCGCTGTGAGGCCGGGAGGGACAGCAGGCAGCACGCCGAGGAGCAGTATTTCTTCTGCAGTGCTTCCAAGCTGGCTTTTTTTGTCGCCGGGTTTAGGAAGGGCTGTGGGGAGCTGAAACTCTGCAGCTCCCTGTCCCGGGGGCTGTATCCTGCACAGCTGGGTGCCTGGAAAGGGAACAAAATAGCACCCAAAAATCCTTGCAGATGTCGTGAGCATGCACCAGAGCTGTCGGGTGCTCCATGGAAGTGCCAGGGGATCGCTGCAAGGTGTGAGGAAGGCAATGGGCAGTTTTTCATTTTGTTGTATTAATCCTATGGCTTTTCACTGCCTTGAGCTCAGTGTGTATTAGTGCCTCCTGCTCACCCTTCGTGCAGCTTTGAGGTGGTGCTGGCTTTAAATTTGCAGCCAAAAAACTCTAGGAAATAGAGAAGTTGAGATTGCCACGTTTGCATCTTTTCGCAGTCACTTGCAGGCTTGGTTTTGAAGAGTCAGGCCATTGCGTCAGGTGTCTTTAATTACATATATAAATCAGAAAAGTTTTGTTCGGTCATTTTTTTAAACCTGAAAATTGAAGTGATGGCTTTTCAAGTAGATTGAGAGCAGCACAGGCAGTCAGAGAGCTGCAGTCCCAAGGGCAGTGGCCGGACCT